AGCTCCCTGGCCGGGGACGGAACTCATGCTGCAGAGGCTGCGCACAGCTTCACAGTGCTGCACTTAACCCCTTGCGCCGCCAGGGAGGCCCAGCTTCTGGCATTTTTGCCCACAGGGACAGTGCTCTCTGGAGGAGCCCCCTTAACCAGGGGGAATCTCAGTGGTCACAGAGGGCAACAGCCTTCCGCAAAGAGTCAACAGTGGCACGCCTTCATGTCAGAGCCTCCCCCACACTCACCACTCCAGAAAAGCCGGAATGGAAGGGGGAGCAGGTCAGTGGAACGCAGGCTGGTCCAGCCCCATGGACAACAGTACGGAGGTTCCTCAAAATATTAAAGATAGGTCTGCCATGTGACCCGGCAATTCTACCCAAAGAGTGCAAAATCATGGTTGCCGAGGCCTATGTGCCCTGCGTTCACTGCGGCTCCACAGACAGCAGTCTAGGTCCAGAAACAGCCTAAGTGCCAGCCACTGGGCCGAGGGTTAAGAGAACGTGGCGTGTACACAGAGTGGCATACTACTTAGCTGTGAGAAGGAAAAGATGAATTCCTGCTCTTTGCGATGATGCGGCTGGAGCCGGCTGGAGCCGGAGCGGGTGATGCTGAGGCAGTAAGGAGACCCTCCAGACGGGAGGATCGCTCATGTGGCGCTCCGGGGAAGCGCAAGGGAGTGAGAAAATTAAACCCACATCAATCCTAGAAATCAGACTGCAGAAGGCAAGCGAGCAGAGGGCAGGGAGGGTGAGGTGGGGACAGAGGGGCGGGAGCAGGCCCAGCGGCCTCAGGTAAAGGACCGCGAGGCCTGGATGGGGGAGGCGGCGACACACGTTGGGGAAGCCGTGGCCTTGCTCCCCTCCACCACGCGCAGCGTGGGCAACGAATGACGCTGCAATAAGGAAAGAAAAGGGGGCACGGAGCAAGGAGCGACCTGGGGCGTGGCCTGGGCAGCACAGCCGGCGCGGACAGGGTCCAGCGTGTCTCTCCGGCTAGCTGGACATGGACTCGCTGGGCCCTGAGCCCGGTGACTCCCTCTCCGGCCCTCCAGGTGTGTGGGTCTCAGAGTTTTGTTTTCTCCCCACCCCTGCATTTCCGCTCTCGCTCGGGGGCCTCTGCCCTACAGGGAGCTGCACGGGCGAGCTCAGGCTCTGCGGGAGGGCCTGGCCGCGCAGGTGGGCGAGGCGCGCCCACAGTCCACTGAGCACGGAGCAGACCACTGGCCACGCTCTCCTGCTTTGTGTTTCTGTCTCCCCCACTTGGTTTCCTGAGGTTGGCGGGGCCCCCCGAAGCGCCCGGCCCGGGCCCGGCCTCCGGGCCTGCTGGGTGGGGCCCTTCTTCTGACTCAGCCCCCGGCAAGCCAGGCACCATCGTCTTCCTCCCGGGGACTCACTTCTCATTTCCTTCCCTATTTTTTCCTCCCCATTTCGTTGCTTTGCTTCTCTGCGTCTCAGATCAGCTCCGAGTCCCATAAAGCCATGTCGCTGAGCCAAAGGGCCTGGCGCTGCCCGGGCAGGGGAGCCCACCAGCAGCAAGGGGCCTGGCGCGCGTCCCTGCCGACTTGCAGTCCCAAGCGCGTCTTGGGAAAGGAATATGTAGCCAGCTCTGCGGGCCTGTGGGGAACTTGAGGCCCTGCTCTCAGGGCGCCCTTGATCCCGTCACCTCAGAGGCAGGATCTGGATGCCGTGAGCGGGAGGTCACATTCTGGTCAATTTCTCCATTGTCAGTTAGAGAAAAGAAACAACTTGATGTCTGAGTTATAGATTTAAGACTCTTAAATCCTTGAAGAGACTAAAGATCCTTAAAGAGGTGGTTAAAGACGCCCCTCAATTTCTCAGCATGACCAGGATACAGCTCGTGAGGTCACCGCTCAGGCCAGCACGTCTCAGACTTTAATAGACCCCACCTGGGGCGTGTGCGCGGAGGCTGAGACGCTGCAGCTCTGACACGCGCGCTCGGAAGACAGGCTGTGAGGAGGAGACCCTCACGGGCAGTCAGGAGCGGACAGCAGACCCCTGCGGCTTAGACTTCCTTCCCCCTTGGGTCCTCTTCCTCAGGGCAGTCAGCTCCCCCCCCCACCCCACCCCCACCCCCGTGGCATACCATTCCCTTCCCTTCTGGAGCAGCTGATGTTCTTTATTTATTGTTCAAAGATTTATTTTATTTATGCATACAAGAGGCTCTTGTATGCATAACAGGCGGATCTACTGAAATCCACTGCTGCGGGGAGCAGCGGGGAGACAGGCCAGGTCTGCTGCGCCCTGTGGGTCAGCTCCCTGGCTGGGGATCGAACTCACACCGCAGTGGCTGCCGCTAGCTTCATAGCGCTGAGACTTAACCCCTTGCGCCAGCAGGGAGGCCCAGCTAATGTTCTTTACATTGCAAGAGGGGGAACCCAGCCCTGGGTGGCTCAAGGAGATTTATTGACCTGCTATTTGGCAGTTCAAAAAGTGGAAGTGCTGACCCACCGGTCTTGGGACGGGGGCGGGGGGCAGGAGGGTCAGGACAATTCAGCGGCCTCAGCAGCACGAACTCCAAGATCTCCCCAACATGCCCCGTAAGACACAAGTTTCAGGGGTACTTCTAAAGCTTTCAGGAAAGCCTGTTAACTGTGCATCTGCTGCACCTCGTTGGCCCTGGAGAGGCTGTCCTCGGTGCCGTTAGAATGCGAGTGAGGGCCTGTGTGTGTCTGGGGGGAAGGGCATGGTGAGGAAGGTTGCAGTGTGATTTCTCCCAAATAAATGATCAAAAAATCCCTTGTGTGTCAAACTTAGGATAAACTGTTTCATTGTGTGACCTGGGTGTGTCTTGGGCCTCTAACTCAAATGTGAATAGAAGGCATCTTATCTATTTATTTTACCAAAAGGACATGGTTTTTATCATTTTCATCTTCATCTTTTTCATCTTTCATGCCATATTGGGACATCCTGTCTTCGTAGTCACGAGGGTCGTGTCTCTGCAGAGGGGCTGATGTCGAGGCGATACAACCATGAACCAGAGACCAAGCTTCCCGCTTCCATTGACTCGGAAACTTTGGCCAATTATTTAATTTTTCTGAGGCTCAATTGTGTCTCCTGCAACTGAGAGAGAACCAAGTGCCTCCTAAGTTCGTTGTGCTTTTACACAACATCCATATAAAGTGCTTTTTAGGGCCTCCTTGGTGGCACAAGGGGTTAAGAGGCAACCTATGAAGCTGCCCGCAGCCACTGCAGCACAAGTTCCATCCCCGGCGAGGGAGCTACCCACATGGCACAGCAGACCTCTCCTGTCTCCCCGCTGCTCCCCTCAGCAGTGTGCTTGGTCAATTCGCCTGTTCTGCTCCCCGCTCTGTCTCTGGGGAATCCTCTCACCCCCCTGCAACTCTGGCCTGTACCCCACCTCTTGTATGCATAAATGAATCTTAAAAAAAAAAAAATAAAGTGCTTTTTAAAGTCAACAGTGTGTCTCACCACCACTATTTGGAATTTGACACCGCACAGGACGTGAAGGCAGGAGAGGCGTCACACGTGTACTCATGTTCACTGTAACAACAAGGAAGGCAAAGGAGGTGCGTTTGCTTTGTGAGTCGAGAGTTGGCGGAGGCGAGCATAGTTCTGTGCACTTCTGGTTGCTTTCCTTGGTCCACTAACAACTTCCTGAGATTTCACTTCTTGTGAATTTCAGAAGCGTCTTGGCGATTGGTTTTCTTTGCGGCTGCTGACACGCCCACTCTAAGTCATTTGTTGCTGGACTCATGTTCTCTCTCCAATTGTTAAAACCTTTTGTTTTACTGTCCTAAGACCCGGGAGCTTGCCATCTCCCCAGTCTGGCCCCCGGCTCTGCTCTTTTCCCAGAGGGGAGACATGGGTGCTCACCGTGCAAAGGGTTCTGGGCCAGGTGTGCTGCTCTGCTCCCAGTTCTGCTCAGATGCACTCTTGAAGGCCCAGGGGCCACCTGTCCTAGCCCCGCGGGGAAATCCTGCTGCCAGGTGCTTCCCAGTTCTCCCGGCCTACACGCGGCCCCAGGGCTCTTGTGAGGTATGCATTTTTTTTTTAATTTTTGCTTAGAACAACTAGGGTGGGGCCTCCCTAGTGGCGCAAGGGGTTGGGACGCAACCTATGAAGCTGTCTGCAGCCTCTGCAGCATGAGTTCCATCCCCTGGCCGGCCAGGGAGCTGACCTACATGGTGCAGCAGACCTCTCCTGCTTCCCTCAGCAGTTTACTTTCGTCAGTCTGCCTGTTCTGTTCCCCACTCTGTCACTGGTGAGTCCTCTCACTCCCTGCATCTCTGACCTGTATCCCAGCTCGTGTGCCTAGATAAATTAAAAAAAAAAAAAAAGAAAGAACTAGGGTGTAGGCCAGAGGTGTGGGGGGTGAGAGGACTCACCAGAGATAGAGTGGGGAGTAGAACAGGCAGATCCACTGAAATCCACTGCTGAGGGGAGCAGCAGGGAGACAGGAGAGGTCTGCTGTGCCCTGTGGGTCAGCTCCCTGGCCGGGGATCAAACTCAGGCCACAGTGGTGATAGTACTGAGACTTAACCCCTAGACCCCAGGGAGGCCTGAGGTATGTATTCTTCCCTTTTGTCATCTATGCCAAGAATGGTTTATTGAAAAAAAATTTCTGACAGCTCAATTTCCTTCTTTATTATTGCCTTCAAAATAATCCCTTCTGGGCCTCCCTTGTGGCACAACCAGTTAAGACGCAACCTATGAAGCTGTCCACAGCCTTTGCAGCACGAGTTCCATCCCCGGCCAGGGAGCTGCCCACATGGAGCAGCAGACCTCTCCTGTCTCACCCGCTGCTCCCCTCAGCAGTGTAGCATGGTCAGTCTCCCTGTTCTGCTCCGTACTCTGTCTCTGGTGAATCCTCTCACCCCCCACCACACCTCTGGCATGTACCGCAGCTCTTGTATGCATACATAAATAAATCTCAAAATAATCCCTTCTTTTTCAAAAAAAGAAAAAAAGAAATTCCCAGCAGGAATGAGCTGGAACTCATATTTTCAAATTGCTAAAGTGACTTCTAGACAGAGATTCTCATATATTAGTCTATCGTGCAGGGAATACTCAAATCGTTGGGAAGAGATTCCTGGACTTTTTTTTTTTTTTCCATCTCAAAAGAGCAGCTGCTCAATTTAAAGGTCTTCAATAGAATTGAACCCTGTTCTCACGCAGGAAAGGAACAGCGTCTGATGGAGGGATCGGGAACCCGCAGACGCCGAGCTTCTGCAGGCAAGTAAGTCAGCACACAGGACTTTTCTCTATGGCCCTTGGTGCTGCTTTTATCTAAGAGAATTAGAGGTGGAGGCAATATGCAAGGCAGACACGCATTTCGGGGTGGGGGCTGTGCCCTCCCGGGCAGCTCCCATTTTATTGAGGATGTTGCTGCTTATGCCTTCCCAAGATGTTTTTCCCCACAGAGGAGCCTTTCTTTGCTTTCTTTGGCTCCGGATTCAGGTTCTGCTGAAGGGCGGGGCTTCTCTTGGCCACCACAATGTCGTCTATGGTCACCAGCTGGATGACCACAGCGGCTGCCATGCGCAGCCCTTGATCTTTGGTGATTAGGGTGTCCCACAGCTGTAGCTGGGCCACGTTGATCAGCCCCTCGGCTCCCACTCCTGCTAGGTAGTGCCCAGCTTGATGCGCCCCGCTTATCTCTGCCATCACTTCCGAGGTGGCTAAGCCCGCGTTCTCGGCCAGGATTTCTGGAAGAGTCCGCAGGGCTCGGGCGAACGCCAGGAATGCTGGACCCTCGGGCCCTGCCAGTTTGGTTCCTTTATCTGAGAGCATCCTAGCCAGAGCCATCTCTGTGGCCCCGGCCCCCGGGAGCAGCCGGGTGTCCTGACACAGCTGGGTGTAGACGTCGATGCCCTGGTAGGCCGCCAGCTCCGCGCCCCGCAGCCCGTCCCTGGTGGTCCCTCTGAGGACCAAGGTGAGGGCAGGCGTGCTCCGAGACTCCCACTCGAACACCACCACCAGGTCTTCCCCCAGGCCCTGCCCGTACACCCGCTGGCACTGGCCGGGCGCCCCTGGAGGAAGCATGTAGGGCAGCAGCGGCGTCTCCAGCACCTGGCTCAGGTAGGCCATCTCCTTCCGGGACTTGGCCTCCACCACCATGATGCCGCGCTTGTTGGCCTGGGCGAGGGTCTTCTCGTCGATCTGCCCCCACACCACAGCCACGTTAATGGAGGCAGAGACCAGTTCGCCCACTTGCTTTTCAATCAGCTGCTCGCTTCCTCTCCTGAAGGCCTGCAGCTCCTCGGGGCTGGAGAGCCTCGCCGTGGCCTGCGCCTGGGTCTGCGCGGGCCCGAAGGTGCAGGCGAAGAGTGCCACCCTGGCCCCACCTACGACCATGTTCACCAGCCCGCGGGGCTGCCCGCTCACCGCCAGCCCGGGGAGCAGGCACGAGTCTTCGGGGCGCCCCCCGGGCAGGACGCACAGGGCCACGCGCTCGGGCTGGAAGCGGCCGTCCAGCTCCCGGGTGGCCCAGCAGGCGTGGGCCACCAGCTTGGCCAGGTGCTGGGGCTGGGCCAGCGCGTGGGTGTTCATCGCCGCGTAGAGCACCCAGAAGGGGTCCTCCAGAGACCCGAGCGAGTGGCAGACCAGGGCCGGCAGCAGCGCCAGCGTCTCGGCGACGACGGCGGCGTAGGCCTCCCGGAGCTGCGCGCGGGGCAGGCCGGCCTGCAGCAGGTGCTCGGCCTGCTCCAGCAGCGCGCAGGCCAGCAGCACCAGCCCCGCCGTGCCGTCGCCGCAGTGCTCGGCCTGGGCCTGGGCCGCGTCGCGCAGCAGCCGGGCGGCCGGGTGCTCCAGCTCCAGGGCGCGGAGGATGGCGGTGGCGTGGCGGGTGAAGACCGTCTCGCCCTTGGCGGTCACCAGCAGCTTCTGCCGGCCGTGCGGGCCGTAGCAAGGCCGGAGCACGCGGGCCAGGGTCTGCGCGGCCGGCAGGCTGCTCAGCAGCGGCTTCTGCGGCTCGCCCCGGCTCCTCGGGTCGGGCCCCAGGCGCTCGGGCAGCTCCCGCGCCGTCTGGCAGCCCCGGTCCATCGCCCGCGCAGAGCGGGAAGCCCCGCGGGCTGCGGAGCCCCCCTCGGACGCCAGGCGGGGCGCCCCGGCCCCGGCCCTCTGCGGTTCCTCGAGGGGCCCGCGGATGCCCATGAACCGGCCCGCGGAGGCGCCTGGCCGGATGCGCGCCGCGGCGGGCGCGAGGGGGGCGCGAGGGGGCGCGAGGGGGCGCGAGGGGGGCCTGCCTGCTCCGGCTAAGCCTTCCGCCGCCGCCCGCCCGGGCCTCTGAGGCTGCGGGGTGGAAACATCTCCGGATGAAGTCACAGAGCGGCCCTGGAACCCGAGGGGGTGAGGTCACAGAGGGCGGCGCGAGGGGCGCTGCCGGGAGGCGCGGTGCACCCCACGCGCCAGGCCCGGTGCAGCCACGACCACTCCCCGCGGGGCGGCCCCTGGGCCGGGTGCGCCGGGGCGGGAATGTCTGCGGACTGTCTGGCTCGGGCTGCTGCGCGGAGAGCCGCGCGCTGTGTCCCGCCGCCCCGGCTCAGCTGTTCGGTGCCGTCGGGCCTCGCGTCTCTGGGCCTGTCCCGGCGGGGCGGAGGCAGGTGGCGCGGAGGGAGCCAAGGACGCGGGGCACCAATGCTGCCCACGGACAGGCTGGCAGGGACAGGCGGAGGAAGCGCCCTGCGCCCCGGGGCGGGAGGTGAGAGCCAGGTGAGGGCCGGGGTTTGAGGTTCAGGGCTGGCCGCCTCCCGCCCTCGCCCCGCAGAGGCCAGGGCCCTCCAGCCCTCCCGCGCCCTCCCCCCCCCACAACACACACACAGGGCCTGGTGGGCCAGGGTGGCTGCTGCTTAGCTTAGCAGATACTTCTTGCCACCAAGTGAGATGTTCTGAGGACAGGAGGGACCAGCCAGGGGGACAGTTCGCAGGGCACACCCGGGACACACTTCCTCCGGGTGCTGGCCGCGGGGCCTGGAAGCCTGGCTTTGTCTCTGAGGCAGGGAAGCAGAGCCGGACCGTCCTGGGTGGAAAAACCCCGACTCTGCCTAGCAGCAGAGGGGGAGGCTGGAGGGTGCCAGCCGAGGCCCAGGCCGGCGCAGTGCCAGTGTTTCAGCCGCCAGGTGGTCGTGACAACGGGGAAGGGCACAGTGAACTGAACTAACTAGGCTAAAGACCTTTTCTTTGCAAACAACCGTTCAATAGAAAAGTTAAAAGGAAAATTGCGAGGTGCGGGGCGTGCAGAATTCTAGGCCAGAGAGAATCGCTGGTGCAGTTTCCACCAAGCTCAGCCGTGGGCGAACAGCCTGGCGTGAGCCCCGGGACACTAGTCCCTGCTGCTCCCTAGTCATCCCCCTCCGTGGTGTCTCGGCAGGAGAAATGCTCCCAAGGGGATGCCCGCCGGAAGGCCCCGGAGGATGGTCTTCACCCCCTGGTTTTGGACAACCCGCTAGAAACGGGCGCTGTTCTCCGGCCCGGGCTCCTGAAGGCCCCGGCAGGGTGAGGGACGCTTGCTTCTTGAGACGCGCCCAGTGCCAGCAGGACGGAGAGGAGGCGCCCGTGTGCCCTGTCCTCACACCCACCTCCCTTCCCGCCTCGCCCCACTCACGCCCCAGCTGTGCATCGAGCCGCTGCTAAGCAGCCGGGATGAGAGGAGAGTTGGGCACCACGGCCGCTGTCTCCGCCAGGCTTGGAAGGGACAGACAGCGAGAGCCGTGGTGAGGGGGAGCCCCGTTGTTCTAGAAGCATCGGGGAGCAGCTGTGGTCTTGAGAAAGCGTGGCGGTCAGATGGGAGTGTAAGAGGGAGCTTGAAGAAAGTACGAAAAGGAGCAGGAATCGGCCATGGGCAAGGGAACAGGGACGCCCCCAGTCCAGCAGGAACAGCGCTGGAGGCCGCAGCTCGTGGGGAGGAGACGGGCGGGCGGACGGGACACGGGGGCCGCGGCTCGGCGGGGACGGTGTCCTCGGGACCCGGGCCACGCCAAGGAATGCCGACTTCGGGCTGAAACACCTCTGCGTGAACGTGTGTGACCTGTAACAGGTGAGCGCCTCACCTGCCTGCCTGCACGGCACGGGTCAGGGTGAGGGTGAACACAGTCCGCCGCCCGGGGCCGGCCCCACACAGCTCGCACTGGACCCCCGGAGAGGCGGCTGCCCTGGAACTGCTGGGTCTCAAGTTTACTTTTGACTAAGTGTCCTTGTTAAACTCACTTTGATTTTATTTATCCTTTAGACAAGTTGATTAGATGTAAAATAAAGGTAAATAAATGTTTCTGGGCCAAGAACTAATTGCAGGCAGCTAACCACTGGGCTCCGGGTTCCGATAGCGCACGTGTCACCGGCCAGGCCCGACGGCTCCCGTGTGGCTCCTGCTGCTTATAAAGGGCGCCCGCCCCAGTCCCTCACCCTTCCCCGGCCTCGGAATGACCTTGCTTGGACATGGGATCGTTATGGATATAACTAACTGAGACGAGGCCCTGCCGGTGCACAGGTAGGCAGGACGACGTCACCGGATGCACAGGGACGGTGGCCACGGCCCACAGAGGCCGCTCTGGATGGCGTGTCTCTAAGCTGAGGGCCGGCACTGCCCGAGCAGAGAGGCCTGGGGCCGGGTCTGGGCTCTGCGCCACCCAACCTGGGAGAGGAAAACTTTGTCTTCAGCTGCTCCGTGTGTGGCAGCAGGCCCTAGGAATCCAAGAGTCAGTGGGCTAGTATCTCCGCAGAGGAGATGAGCAGAGAAGGGGGTGTGTGGAGAGGGAGTTTCTGGGCATCTGTGGCACTTGTTGGCAGGGAGTTTTCTGGGCACCCCCTTCCGAACCGACATCCTGTTGGCTGACTTCTGCCCTCCCCCAGATCCCCAGATGCATTTCTTTTACAACTATGGTCTTGTACACAATGGATGTAAATATTTAATCTTTCTATTTGTACACTTTTCCATGTTTATTTTTCAGTTGCCTGCTTGCCTTTTTGTGTTTATCTTGCTAAGTACTGCCAGGCTTAACCTGGGGACCTCAGAGGACAAGACTCATGGCTATAGAGAAGGCCGGCCTGTGGGACCGACCCCGCCTGCTCGCAGGCACAGACGGCTTTTGAAGGAGTCTGGACACCCTTCTCGCCACGGCCTTCCCTGACGCACAGGCATGCGGCCTGCATTCTTGAAGCGGCACGACTTTCAAATCTAAAAAGGCACCTGGACCAAACCAGAGCTCGTTTTAAGCACACTCATTGAAGCGACTGAAATTCTTTTTTAAAAAAATTTATTTATTTATGCATACAAGAACTGGGGTACAGACCAGAGGTGGGGGGGTGAGGGGATTCCCCAGAGACAGAGTGGGGAACAGAACAGGTGGATCCACTGAAATCCACTGTTGAGGGGAGCAGAGGGGAGACAGGAGAGGTCTGCTGTGCTGCCATGTGGGTCAGCTCCCTGGTCAGGGCTAGAACTGCAGTGGCTGATGATAGCGTAAGACTTTAACCCCTGCGCCACCAGGGATGCCCCTTGAAAGCACAACTTCAATAGCAAAAACGTGCACACAAAGCAGCAGGGCCTGGCTGTGCACTCGGTGCTCAGGACACTCCTATAACAGCCACTGGACACCGGCCGAGGGAGCTGGGCCGACAGTGGACCTGCAAGGCCTCATGACGTTTTACACTCAACTAAAACCAGGCCATCGAGGGCTCCACAGGTGAAGACAGGGTCAGTGGCAGGCGCTGCGAGTGGGCACTGCATGTGCTGGTGGCGGCCTTGCCACTGTGCTTGGCCTGGGGGACGCTCCCTTGCTCCCACTTTCTGGAGATGTTCCTTTTGTTTCCTGCCGATAACAACCCTTGCTCCACCCACGTTTCACATTTCTAACAAACATTTGTGATCACACTACATGTGCTCTTGCAAATGTGTCTGTACCTGTTACAAATATGTAATATAGAAAGTGAAAGTGCCCTGCCAGCCAGCCCTCGGGGGATGGCCATTGGCTCTGGTGCCATCATTGAAGACAAATGTTTAAAATGTCTATTTAGTACAGAGTAGATTTCTAATTTTTTTTTGTCACTTGGTCCTTCATTCAGATGCTCAGGCCTTTTGATCTTATAATTTTGAGGGATCTCAGCTATCTGCCTCTTGGATTCTTGCCATTGTGTAAGTAAACACTTTAAAAATTTATTATATTTTTTATTGACCTCACATGACAGTCTTACGTGGTGTCAGGTGCATCGCTAAAAAGCCACACGTGCACCTATGTGCACCCCAACTGTTGGGGTCACCTCTGCGAGTGGCCTGAACCTGGGGAGGTGTGGCTGTTGGACGAGGGAGCTGGAAAAGCCTCTGGACAATATTTACATTGAATGAGTCTCCTGAAGCCCTTCCCTGCACCTGGGGTGTATTTTATTTGCTCTGCCCAAGATAACCTCCCTGGGACTGGCCTACTAGGCTCCTTGCAAAACGGCCCCCCAGCCTGGGGGCTCAGAGTCGCCCAAGGGGGATGGCGGCCCCTCTGACTACCCTGCAGGTGCTCCTACCCATTTTATGAAGATTATTTTCTGTTCTCAGTCCCTGGCCGCTTCCTTTCACAACTCGTCTCCTGCAGGAGTGACCTGCGATCTGCGGCGCGGACACGGCCTCCCCCGCCCCGGGTGGGCGGCGCCGCGGTGCCCGCAGCCGGCGATGACGGTCCGCACTCCGGGTCCACCCGGGGCCCTCGCCGGCGTCCGCCGGGGTCGCGCGCAGAGAAGGTGGACGAGGAGGGGCGCGTTTCCCACGTGCGCTCAGCAGTAACGCGCGCCGCTCCCCGGGGCGCGCCGTCCTGCCGCCCCGCGTCCAGGCGTGGCCGCCAGGCCTCCTGACCGCGGGGAGTCCCCGAGGCGCCGCTCCCGGGGCCGTGGACGCGCCGGCGCGAGGGAGCCGCGGGGACCGCGTCGTGGCGGAACCCGGGCGCGGCCGGCGGCCCCGAGGGGACGCGCAGGCCGAGCCGCCGGGCGCCCGGACGCGGTCGCTCCCCCGGCCGAGCCGGCCGGGCCCGGGTGCGCAGAGGCCCCGCCCGCCCGCCCGCCCCTCCCCCCGCGGCCGCGCTCCTGGGGCCGGGCCCGGCGCGCCGTCGCGGCCGGCGGGGGCGAGTCCCCGCGGGGCCCGGCGGGTCCGGCCTGCGCGCTGTCGGCGGCGCCCGGGCCCCGCGGAGCTTCCCGGAGCGCTCGCGGCCCCGCCCCGGCGCCGCCCGCCCGTCCGCGTCTCCCCGCGTCTCCCCGCGGCGCGGCCCCCGGCCGGCGCCCGATCCCGGACCGCGCTCCGCGGCTTGGCGCTCTCCGGGCCGCGCCGGCGGGGGCGGGGGCGGGGCGGGCGGTGAGGTCAGCGGCGCGCGCGGCGCCTGCGCGGACGGGCCCCGGGGGCGGCGGGCGCGGGGGGGGCGGCGCGGGGGGAGGGGCGGCGCGGGGCGGGGCGGGGCGCGGCGGGGGCGCGACGCGGCGAGGGGAGACCCCGGCGCGGCGGCCGCGCGTGTGGGCGTGTGTGCGCGGGGGCCCGGGGGCGCCAGGGCGGGGGCGCCGCGCGGGGCCCCGGCCCCCCCGGCCCAGCTGTCAAAACTTCGCCGACGCCCCCGCTCCCCCGCCTCGCCCCGCGGCCCCCCGCGGCCCCCGTCTCGCCCCGCGGCCTCCCGCGGCCCCCCGTCTCGCCCCGCGGCCCCCCGCCTCGCCCCGCGGCCCCCGCCTCGCCCCGCGGCCCCCGCCTCGCCCCGCAGCCCCCGCACCCCCGTCTCGCCCCGTCGCGCCCCGCGGCCCCGGCCCGGTGTTTCCTCGCACCCCGCCGCCCCAGCGGCCCCCCGCCCCCCCCGCCCCAGCGGCCCCCCCGCCCCCGCCCCCCCGCGCCGCGGGCCGGGCCTCCCCCCGCGCCCCCGCCCCGCGCCCCGCCCGCGCCCCCGCCCGCCGCGCCCGCGCCCCGCCCTCCGCGCGCCCCGCCCGCCGCCCGCCCGCGCCCCCCGCCCCCGCCGCCCGCCCGCGAGCGCGCCGCCGAGTGAGTGCGTGTCCGGCCGCTCCATGTTGCCGCCTCTCCCGGCCCCGGCGGCGGCCCCCGCGGCGCCGGGCGATGCGAGGCGCTGAGCCGCGGAGCCCGAGCCCCAGCAGCAGCGGCGGCCGCGGCCTCGGCGGCGGCGGCGGGACGAGCCCCCCGGAGGCGGCGCGGGCCCCATGCGCCCGCCCGGCGCCTAGGATGTCGGCGGAGCAGGACCGGAGCGCGGAGCAGCCGCAGCCGCCGCCGCCCCCCCCGGAGGAGCCGGGCGCCCCGGCCCCGAGCCCCGCCGCCGCAGACAAAAGACCTCGGGGCCGGCCGCGCAAAGATGGCGCTTCCCCTTTCCCGAGAGCCAGAAAGAAGTAAGTTGGGGCGGCGGAGCCAGGCCGGGCGCCAGCGCCGCGCGGCCCGGAGCTGTCACCGCGCCGCCCCCGCGCCCGCGCCCCCCGCGCCCCGCGCCCCGCGCCGCGGTGGGGGTGGGGCGCCCGCCGGCCCCGCGCGCCGACCCGCCCGGCCCGGCCCGCCCGGCCCGGCCCGCCCGGCCCCGCGCCCGCACTTTACTTTTGAGCCGGGCCCGCCGCCCCCCGCCGCCGCCGGCCGTCCGGGCGCTCCCGGCCCCGCGCTGGCCCTGCGCGCTGGGGAGCCCCGCGGCCGCGCCGCCGGCCCGGGACGCCGGCCGAGCTGTCAAAGCGCCCGCCGGGGGGAGGCGGCGCCGGGCGGGCGGGCGGGCGCGGGGCCCCGCGGGGGCGCGGGCGCCCCTGCAACTCGGCGGCCGCCGGGCCGGGCCGGGGTGTCGGAGCAGGTCCCCGCGCCCCTCCCCCGCGCCCCGCGCCCGGCGCCGCCCCGGCCGTCGCGCTGCCGCGGCCGCGTGCGGGAAGTTCGGGCCCCGCGCGGGGCGTCCGCCCGACGGGGCGCGGGGGGGCGCCGGGCCGGGAGCGCGGGCGTCCTGCTTACTCATCCCGCGCGGGGCCGGGCGCGCCCTCCCGCGGGCGGCGTGCGGGGCCGGCTCGGGGCGCGCGGGGCCCCCGGAGGGCCGGGCGCGCGGGGCGGGCGCCCCCCTCGCCGGGCTGCCGGTGCCCGGGCGGCGAGCCCGCGCGGCCTGCGCGCCTCCGTGTTCCGGGCCGGCCGCAGGGCCGGGCGCGCCGCGGGGAGGCCGGGCCCGCGCGCCCCGGGGCGGCGAGCGGGCGCACCCCGGCCCGGCCAGGTGCGGCCCCTGCCCCCGCGCGCGGAGGCGGAGTTTGGGGAACTTCGAGCCGCACGGCCAGGCGTCCCTGCGGGCCGCGCCGATGAGCCATATTAGGGCCGCGGGCCGCGCTTCCCATTTTCGCCCCGTGGAGCGCGCGCCGCCGCCCCCGAGCGCCCCGGCCGCCGGCCCCGCGCCCCGGCCCGCGCCCCGCAGGCCCCGACGGCGCCCCGGCTACGCCGGAAGGAGGCGGCCGGGCCCCCGCGCGCCCCTGAAGGCGTCGCTCGGAGCCCGAGCGCGGGGAAAGGCGGCCCCCGAGGAGCCCGAGCAGCCGACGCCGGCCTCGCCGTGCGGGCCCCGCGCCCCGCGCCGGTTCGGAGCCCCCCGGGGGCTTCGCGCAGATTTGAAATGGCCGCGGCGGCCCTCGCGGCAGCGTAAGTCCGGGCCGCCCTGGGGGTTCCAGACTCGCGGGGGAGCCCCACAACCAGGCGTGTCCGCGGAGGGACGGGGTCTCCGGGGGCGTCGGAAGCACGTGACGGGGCGCGGGGGCCTCCGCGGGGCCCGGGGATGCGGCGGGAGGACCCCGGGTGGGGGAGGCCGCGAAAGTGAAACCGATGTGTAGCAAATGCAAATGAGATTGTCGCTGCCCCGGTGCGCGGCCTGCGGATCCTCGCGGCGGAGCTGACGGGAGCTGACGACGGACGGTCTTTGTGAGCCGCGGGACGTCGGAGTGTTTAAGTGGGCGCTGCGGCTGGACGGGCGCGGGTCCTTCTGGAGAAGGGGCCTCTGACGCCGGCTCTGGGAAGCGCACTTGCGCGTCCGGGTTCGGACAGGAGGCCTGCCCTGCCGGCTGGGCTTTTCTGAGCTTCAAGTTCTGCGCTTTAGGTAAACAACCGAAGCGTTTTCTTGTTTCGCACCAATACATCTTGAGTTTCATGATGTTTAAAAGGCGCAGGCTGTGTGGCTCCCGGGTTTACATTAACTGGTGCTCGCACTTGTGGATGCTACCAGAAATCAGGAATCTTGTACCGCAGCTGCTCATCTTAGAGGCAGC